GTTAAATTTATTTGAGATGGAACACTATTGTAGAAACATTATGAAATTGATTTCTTAAGCATGCACTTTCGAGTACACTTCCTTAAAAGAATTAGAAAAATAAATATATATATATATATATATACAAAGCATCGAACTATTACTGACACCAATGACGATTAATTAATTTTGGTAATAGGTNTTTTTGAGTATATATATATATATATATATATATATATATATATATAAAAGCTTTCATATCAGATAAAATAAAAGCTTTTCATATCGGATTTATAATTAAATAAATATTTAAGTCCGAAAAATTGCTATTTCGAACACAACTCAGATTTCCTTGATCAAGACTCCTTGATCAAGATTGATAATCGTAATATTTAATGATAAACACTCTAATGCTTAAAATCTCGTCCCAGACGTTTTGAGCCAGGAATTTTGAGTGAATAAATCCGTATTTGTGTTTTTGGGTGATGAGATCCACAAAAATTTCCTAATTTAACCGAATGCCAAAGGGATTCTAACCATCTACTACCATCTATCTACTAATGCAACTGTGGTCAGTGCCAGCTGAAAGCAGAATAATAATTATTCAGACATCACCGAGATTAGATCATGCTTAATTGCATCTTGAATTGAATCTTGCATGCTTAATTGAATCTTGATTTTGTTTAATTGGCAAATAAGTGCTCGATCCCTAGAGCCATTAAAAAAAAAAAAAAAAAAAAAAAAAAAAAAAAAAAAAAAAANAAAAAAAAAAAAAAAAAAAAAAAAAAAATTAGAGCTTTTTGAATTGACGCTTACATGAACGAAATGCAAATCTGCGTTTCTTTTAAATTTTCAATCACCAACGTTATCATAATTGTTGACTTGATAATTTCAACTCTCCCCTTATTTATTTAAAGACTTAATAAGTGGTACGTTACTAATCTTGTTTCTGTTCCAAAAAAGTTTTTTTTTCATGGTTAGATGTTAAACTTTGTCCTTTAACTTTTAAAGTATTTTTAATGGATGTGCTAAAATTTTGATTACATACTTGTATATATGCCCTGATGAAGAATTCAGATCTGGTGAACATGTCGGCCAAGCAAGTGTGAAATCACCAGAGATAATACATTTATCGGGAAAGTGATGTCAGAATCACATTTTTTTAACGTATGGCAGTATGGGCAGCTGCTGGCATTATAGCGAAGGATTTTTCTTGCACACACCACTTATAATATACACGTCATTTTTATACTGACATTATATGATAGCCACGCATTTGCATATGATTGTGCTATAGATTATGTTTTAGCATATGGATTCAGAAGTATTTACAATACTCATTTCTTAGCAAAATTTTGAACTATTTTTCTTCTGACAAGAGCCCTAACAACATGATTTAAATATCGTATATTTGAAGTTTCATTTGTTTTCGATTTCTAGATTAGGAGTTACGAGCATCTAAAAACAGTTTATTTTTAACTTCTCCGGTATGGAATTAAATTTGAAAGTAAACCGGATGAAAATTGATATTCCGGCCGTTTGTTTTCCAAGACGACAAGTTGTACTTAATCTAATGTATATACGTTTAGTTTAATCATAATTCTTTTATTTCCTGTTTTAAATTTAGTGCGTGATTTTAGAACGTTGTAAAATTGAAACCGAATATTTATATTACGTTATCATATAACCGAATGTTGTTACATCACAAGTCCGTTATGGGACACATTAGAGAACATCAAAATTTTTTTTTCTTAGCAATATATATAATATTTTCTGAAATCAATGTCAGTTTTTCCTTGCTATATGTATGAACAAATTTTTGTAAGGATTTGATATTTTAAAGACACATTACTATTATATTATTTCAATTTTGTAGAAATATTGAGTTGAGATTACAATATTATTAAACTTTTGATTTTGAATGGAATAGAATGCTCATTTATTATTCGGATGTTATTAATTATAAAGGGTTATATAATAATACCCGATACATCAAAGATTATAATTAAATAAATCCTGGGCAATAGCCCTCTACTTTAAAGACATCTGAGTAAGAAAAACAGGTTAATGGTATATGCGTAGCAGCTTTATTATTCCGAGTAATTCGATTATTTGTCATAAAAAACGGTGATTATTAATAATAATCTCGCCGTTGATGACCAGTATTCCACAAAATGAAATATTTTTTAATCTATCGTATCGTAATCTACGAATTTTTTATTTAAAAATATTTCGCCTGCTGTCAAAATAAATAAATGAATATTTTTAACAAAAAATATGCTGTATTATATTCGGTACATAAATTATATAATATGTAGGTAAATTTTTTCTGAATATTTGCGTTTTCTTTCTGTGTGTTTAACTGCTAGTTCGGAATCTTCGGGAACTGAAATATGCAATTCCTCCTGGCATTAATAGGAAACGTGCTAAACTAACAGCGCCCCCCCCCCCGAAAAGGAAAGAGAAGGGGAAAGAATTTTCAAAATTTATTTCCTAAATCTTTTCCCTCGAAACCTAAGAAATTTATTTTTAAGTCTAAATAGTTTTTATCACCAAATATGAAATCGCTGCTTTCAACGTGTAAACAAACCAAGCAAGTTCTTATTTCTCACCACCAGAAAAGAAACAATTTTCTTCCTCACATTTTCTTTACTATCTCAACTGGGAACACTTGAATCGCGACATCTAATAAATATTATGTTTATTATGATTAATAAAAAGAAGAGAAAATGTATTTTTAAAGATTCCATTTGTAGTTTCATTTTCTGACAGTAAGAAAGAAAGTATGGTTAAAACTACCAAAATATGGTAAAATGTTTAGTTTTTTCTGGCTTTATTGGAACGCCAAAAAGTACGGTAATTTTTACCCCGAAGCTTTGGTAATGACTTTTGGTTAAATTAATCATAAAATATGGATTTATTATTATGCTGCTTAGTAAAAACTAGTTATGTGGTAAAACTTTCTAATTATTATGTGGTAAAACTTTCTAATTTTACCAAAAAGTCGGTAATTTTGACTATACAAGTATATTTTCAGCAAACGCGGGAATGTTCAATTTGATAATCTTTATTTTATTTACTGTACCCTTGGCAACAATGTTTTTTTTCCTCCGGTTAGTTGATTTCACTTCTATGCAAGTTATAAGCTAACATTTTCCAACATTTCAAACTATAAAAGAGGCGCGATTCAAAATGCCTGGATAAGTATATATTAAACCGTATATATTAAATGTTAATTACTCTTATTTATGGACGTTAAAAGTAAACATCTGTTTTTCAAGTTTCTTATAGAATTGGTATTAATGCAATTATTAGAAACGTTTTATAATTGTTTTTTTTCTTCCAATTTTGTTTCAAATTTATCTGAAATTTGGTGCCGGAAATAAATAATTCCTTTCTTTATAGTGTGAGTTAATTTTCATGATAAACTCAATATTTAAGTAACATACTAAAAAAAAACTGAATTTACAAGACCTTTATTTATGTGCGTTAGAGAAAAATTTAGATATTTTATTCAAATCGAGCTTTTGGATTTTTAAAGTACTTATTTTGAAAAATTACGAAATTATAAGACTGAAATATGATTTTTGCATTAAACGTTTTTAGTGGTGCTATGTTTTACGCAATGTTTAAAGCAATGTTTGTCGTAATAAGGTATAATGTTTATTTAAAATTTAAATCTTTTTATTTTTATTTTTAAAGCTGCGCTGTTGTTAGATAAAAATGTCTGTACAAGAAATATCGACTTACTAAGAACGAAAGATTAAACAGCTCGCGAAGAAAAATTATAAATACTAGTTCTCTTTGGCGACCAGCTTATTCACCTTTCGAAATATCTTATACAACATATAGATAAATGGTAACTTAGCCTAAAGCACAGTATAACTGTATTAAAATAAACTCAAATTCTTCAATCTCTCCTCCAACCTTTAGCATTATATTAACCCCATTTTTCACCGTCTACTAGTTGCCTGCACGAATGTTATTTTGATTTTAATTTTAACTATTTCCGAGAGATGTCTGCGATATTGCCAAAGTTCTTTTTAAATATTTTCAAAGTTCTTTTTAAAGCTCCGTCACCAACACTACTGAGTACTATAGCATGTTTCAGGTTTCTGCAGCCATTTTAGAAAGGATCAAATATAAATTTCGTAAATAAAGTTTTTATTTCTACAAAAATATATTAAATAAATACTTAACGTTTAACTAACTATACAACGCTACTTAAATTATTACTTATTGCTTAAAAGTATCTCCAGTAGATAGACAAATACCAGAGTTTATGGTGCCACACATATACGCCAACCTACATACACACGTATATATATATATAT